ATGGACACCTTCCACACCAGACCAGATTGCTCAAAGCCACATCCAATCTGGCCTCAAACACTTCCAGGGATGGGGCATCCACAGCTCCATCTATTCCAGTGCCACTCCACCTTCACAGTGAAGAATTTCTTCCCAACATCTAAAACTAAACCCACCCTATTCTAGTTTAAGCTATTACCCCTTGTCTTATGTGTTTTTGTGACAAGTCCCTCTCCATCTTTCTTTTAGGCCCCTTTTAGGTGCAGGAAGGTCTCCTTGGAGCCTTCCCTTCTTCTGGGTGAACAACCCCATCTCTCTCAGCCTGTCTCATACGAGACGTGCTCCCTGCTCATTTCCATGGCCCTCCTCCCAAGTCACTCCAGCAGGTCCACATACTTCCTGTGGTGGGTGCCTGAGAGCTGGAGACAGTGCTCCAGGTGGGGCCTCAGTTTTTAGTTTCATTCAGGACATACTCTAAATATAACAATGTAGTAATAATATTAGTGGCAGCCAAGTATTTTAGTTTGCCCTATTATTGAAAAATGAAAGTAGTATGGTAAAACTTCAACATCAGAAGTTAGGGCTGTGGTAGCTTTTAAAAAGTTTTCTATTTAGGATTTTCCAGTAAATTTTCTTTTTTCTTAGTTTAATATTTTACTCTATTAACACACCTTTTTAAATTTAATATTAGAATTAAATTATATTCTTCAACTGGTGATCTCATTTCAAAGAATTATAAATGTTTTCATGTAGAAGAATCAATTTGCTTCAAAGACAACTTTGAATTTACACTCTCTCAGCATTCAGGCTGCCTCCTTTAAAATCGATAATTGAGATACCAAACTCCATCAGAATTGATGCTTGGTATCTGCCTATGTGAACGCTCCCTTATAACTCTCCCTTATAACTCCATGGCATGATTTTATTTAGAACCCTTCCACAGCTGGGACCAAATGGGTGTGTCATCCCTAAAGAGCTGGGTGAGGAAGTGCTTAACATTTTTAAATAGTAACCATAGTGACAACTGAAAGTCACTAAGCTTGTATTACGTTCTTACTTTGACAGAACCAAAATGAATCAAATGAAGTATTAAGACAATCTTGCATTAGTACAAATAAATTAAAAAAACCTTCACCAACTGCTGTGTTGTAAAACAACATCTCCAAATAGAAATAATAAAACACTACAGCGAGAAACAAAAATCAAATCTACCAAAAGAACTGAAGAGGGACACACATGCATTTACACAAATAACTAGCCACTGAACAAGATGATATGCACATGACTGCCAGACAGGGTATGTGAGGAGTAAGTCCATCTGGATGATCCTTCTTGGAACACATGACATATTGCTCTACTATACCACTGAGCAATAACTTCTGCAGATTTACAGAAAGACTGAACTATAAATCTCAGACATTAATCCACACTCCCATTTTCACTGGCAGAAAAGAAATCATCCATGCCAGGACTATTTTTCCACACCACCCAACTACTAATCTTGCTGATCTGGCAAAGCATAAAGTTTGCAAGGGTTGGAGCAGCAACCAGTAATTTTAGCCAGCCTTTTTCACACAAACTTCTAAACAATAAAATTTTAAGGAGCTTTTTCTTTGCAAAAAGGATAATCACATAATCACTTAGAACTGAAAGTCTGGATATGTAAGAGGATTCTTGCTTCTCTTGTCCCAGATTACTTCTAGTAATTATAGAGGAGGGTTTCACATCATGCCTGTGCATCATCTCAGTTGCAAGAGAAAACAAAATACAAGTGAAAGTTGTAGCCTCCTCACCAGATAGAAATATAATTTTCTTGGAACAGATTCTGTTCATGAGGAACTGAAGGTCTTGACCTTAACTCAGGTGACACAAGAACACTGCACCACGTAACAGAGTTTAGTAACTCTGAATGGCTTTGTGGCAGTGCTCATCAGACAGAGTGCTGTCAGCAAAGGTATGGCAAAAGGCAGCAAGCATACTCAGATATAAAGTACAAGGAGAAAATAACTCTTCCTGTTGGGAAGGGGGCCTGCCCAGGTGGCACAGGACGGCAGCCTGAGATGGCAACAGCCTGAGGGCATATGACTTCCCACAAGGTAAGAAGGAGACAGCACAGGTAACTGCCAGGGAGCAGAGACAGGAGAAGCACATGGAACACCACAGAGCTCATCCATTTCAAAAGGGAGGTGTTCCTCTTGAGGACCTGCCCAGCTCCTGAGGTGACAGATCAACTGAACACGTGTAACAGGGACAGAGATGCAACCTCCCAGACAATGTGAAAGACTGGTTTTGCTCTTACATAAGATGACAACTCTCATGTCCTCCTTAGCACCAGAAGCAGATCCACCCTTTTAATGGTGCCTTCCTCTGACCAATTTTCAACATCCAAGGCAAATCAAGCACCTTGTCATACCTGACAGTACATGCATGTCCTACCAGCACCCTGTTCTCTGCCACCCCAGCCTGTTAAGCTGACTTTTCTAAGCAACAGTTTATTTAATCTATTTTGGGTAGATAAAAAAACCTGTGCTAACAGTGGTGCAACAGCAGAACACAGCAGTCCTCTTGCGGTGTCAAAACACACACTGCTTCAGGCACACATTAATGTTATCCCATACAACATATCACAGCTGCTTTAAGATGTGGGCAGTTAACCTCAGGTGATAGCAGCAAAATGAATTTGCTTAGGAATGTTAGAAATCCAAAAGTTAAATGCAATCTTTTGAATAAGTCAGCAGATGAAAAGTTTTACTTCTTGGTGACAAGAAATTATTTACTTCTAATTATGAAACTAGAGTTAAAAGAGGATATGACAAAAGCAAGACATGAAATAGCACCCCTTTTCTGAGGCCTGGGATCCTACAAGTTTTGAAGACATTTGTAATTCACCTTGAATGTATGAAACTACTTATTTCTATTAAATAATAAAAAGACACATCAGATAAAATTCTTGATCAGACAGCATTTCCCTCCTGACACAAATATAAATCTCTCTGAAAATCCTCTGAAGAATAGCTTGCCCTCTGGGTAATAAAATTATTTCAGTAATTTACTTTTCAATGGAGAGAGTTATCTTCATGTCACTTATTTCCTTCATTTCTTGGAATAAAACTTTCCTCCCATCCCTCTCCAACCTCCCAAATACATCAAAAGTGCTAGTATATTTAGGACACCACTTTACAGCATGCTCAGATACAGAAGTTTTGAATTACTCTGGAAGCATTTAATACACACTGTGGGACTGTCATATGATATATAATGTGTAGAGAAGCAAACTCATACTGAAACAAATTACAAGAACATGGTTCTATGGTTGGCAGTTCTTTTGACTCTAACCCAGACCCCCCACACTGCTGTCCATAAGAAGTACTCAATAGTTAAATCTGCCTTTTTGAAAAACACTAATTAAACCATTGCTGAGAAAGTACCATGTAAAACCACTGTTGCCTCGTGACAACTTCAAATTCCAGCCTTACTCTTTGCTCACGGAGCCGGGAAGGAAACTGGTGGTGCTGCAAGGACCCAAAAAAGCCTGGGTTACAGACCCACTGGATGGATTTCACGGCTGACCTCTCCTGGGCGCCGTGGTTTAACGTCGGGACGAGTTGGACAACATACCTTGCACAACAGTTCGCTATCCTGACCTCCCCGGGGTTCCAGCTTGTAGCTACTGACGCTGCTGAACACCAGCTCCCGACCGCCTCCAACCCTTCCCAGCCATACCCTCGGAGCAAACCTCCACCAAAACAACTTTTGCTAGGGCTTTGTGAGTAATTTAAGCGCGGCAGAGGTTACCAACCCTCCAGCTTTTGGCATGACGTAGGAACTGGCAGAGAGAATACCAACATCCTGGAAGTGTGCCAAGTCCCTAAACAGCAGATTAGTGAGAAATTACGTTTCGGGTATGAGTCAAAGACTGAAAACACACTGCCATCTCACATATCAGACCTCAAAACAGCATGAACTTTCGTTCTGAAACCAGGCAGAGAGAATGTCAACAGGCTACCACTCGACCCACCTACGAGAGATTTCTTTCTAATTAAAGCAGCTACATATCATTTCGCAGTATTTTTTTCCTTGTATTTACAGAAGGATTACTGCCTGTTCCTCTTTGATAAAACGGGTAATTTAAGACAGGAATCAATCCTTCACATTTAACTTGACAGGTTTCCAGCAAAACCCACTAAAGATTTTATTTTTTTTGGAGACAATAAATGCATCCTTTTATCCCAATATAACAGAAACAGTTAACACTGTAACAAGTCAATGTGCCCTAGGATGATTTTTGCCCTGACTCATTTATTTTAAAACACCTGTCTATACAGTGAAGTTTCACCTTAATCTCTCAGAAACTGGTAATAAAATGCTTATTAGGAGATAGAGCAGTCTTGAAATATGAAAATCCACTAAATATATTTTAGAATTAAGCCACTGCTATTTCACAGGAAAACTCCCATCTCCATAAATATGCCAATTACATGCAATTCAGTACTTAATTTCTACTCACACACACACATACACCCCTTGACAGGGGATGTGACACTCAGAGACAAACATCTGATTAACACTTGGAGTGGCAAGACCAGCAGTCCTTCAGGACAACTATACCTAAGCCTCAAATCCATTTGGATAAGTATCAGAAGTACCACCTCAGCCTTTCAGATTTACATTGATAATCACAAATCATAAATAAAAGCAACGCTTTTGATATCATTTAACAATTTTGCTCCAAGTCTAAAATAAGCTGAACAGTTTCCATCTCAGATTAAATGCTGTAAATATTCATTAACAATTAGTTTGCCTGTAAGGTAACTATTATAATAATACTTCATTTTTTTAATTACATTTCTGCAAGTCTTATCCTCTAGCTTTAAGAAGGCTGCAACCCTCACCACAGTATTCAGAACTGCTCATACCAGATTAAAAGAAGAATTTTCCATAGGCAAACATTAGGAAAAAAACAGACCGTGAAAGAGCTTAGAGGGAGAAGGGAAAGGAGAAAACAAAACCACAAAACTCACTTGACTGTAACTCGATTGGACAAATCCTGAAGATCTCCTGGGTGAAAAAGCTGAGCTTCTTTCAGTCCAATGTTTTCGCACGCTTTCAGAAAAACATTTATATTATCCTGCAAAGAGAAGTAGAAAGCAGTTGCTCAGTTAAGAGCACTAAGCAGGTTTTGCAAGATGATTAGTACTAGCCTTTAAATGTCAAAGTCCAGCTCACATAAATGAAACTGGAAAAGCAATCTGCTGGATCATAAACGCTGCTCGTTTCTCATGCACACAGGCAGGCTGGGCTGCGATCGCCGGGACTGAGGGGTATGTTAAAGATTACCTGGCATAAGGCAGCGGTGAGCCAGTAGGCAGCAATCTCCACTTTGATGTCAGCTCTGCTCAGCAAACAAAACGCCCTCTTCCTAGCTTTGCACGACAAGCCTCACCTCAATGCCTTTAAAAATAACTCCAGCTACTGACATTCACCACCCAGAAACTCTTGGCAGGGGAGGAAGAAGAGGAGGGACTCTTCGTTTCTATGCTCACAGACTGATGAGGGAATACTGCACCTGGAGTCTGGGTTTGGTTGCTGAGCAGAGCTCCAGAGAGACAGAAACCAAACTGTATTCAGAGCTGCTGCTGCTGCCTCACTTGGGGGGGGTTCTTTCCGAGTCCCTCCCTTCCCCTTCCCACATCCACACCCCCTCCTCAACTTCACACCGACCTGTTATAAAATACAGGAGCAGCACCCACTCTCTGCACCTGCTGCAGGATGGACTGACCCATGAGAGAAATGTTAAAAAAGAATAAATCTAATGATATATACAGAGATTATACAACTTGTGATCCCTTTCCACTTCATGAACAGTGGGCAATAGGCAAGAAATTCCTTCTCGTTAAGGCGGAATGCTATCAACAACAAAAGAATGTGCCCTCTTGTGCACTTGCTTCCTTCAGCTGCAAGCCAAAGGAAAAGGTACATGAAATTACTTAATTCATAAGCTACACACAGCCCTATCATTAAGAGTTTGTAAGTCAAGGTGCTGGTATCAAAATTTCATAGTATGGAGAAGCTCTGCTTTAGCAATTTAATATGCTTTAATTTATTTTTTTTGACACATAATCACTGGATGTAACAGTTATTCCTTCATTTAAAATTAATTTTAAAAACAACCTACAAAGAAAATAACAGCTGTTTTTAATAAAGAAAGTAAAACAAACCCAAGAATCCCCACAACCTTCTGTTTTGAAGGTCCCTGGGATTCTAGTATTTCTTATCAGTCTGTAAACATGGCTTAATTCAAGGAAAATATTTGAGCAAGGTATTCCCCATGCAGGCTGCGGGCTCTGCGTTACCACATCTGAAAGATCCCAGGTGTCTCATACCCTGAAGGTTATCCCCAAGGCCTGATGCGATGTGCCACAGTGGGGGCTGCTACATGGCGGCAATCATGGGGGACACGATGTGGTGGCAGATGAGAGGAGGAAGCTGGGAAGGATGGAGGACAGGCAGCCTCACCTGTGCCCAGGCACTGTTCCCTGCAGTGCCCAGGGGGCTGCCTGCACATTTACCCACAGAAGAGCTTCATGCTGTGAGATGCAGTCTCAGAAGGGGCATTTGTTTTTCCTTTCCATGCAATGCCCCTTTTTTCTTTCCATGCAATATAGGGAAAGCTGTCTAGATGTGTCAACTTTATTCAATTAATATCTGAGTGTCACATTAGTACCAACCAGCAAGGACTTGAAAAGGCATTGTTTCCTCTACATGGAAGAAGCCACAGGCTACAGTCCCATTGCAAGAAGAGGAACTACTTACTAAACAACCATCAGGTCAGTGTTCAGGGGACTAGGGAGTCTATGAAACTGGCAAGTAAGGCACAGGAAGAAAGCAGCAGGCACAGGAAGAAAGCAGCAGAGCAGAAAGAATGAGTAACTCCAAGGTAATGAACTGACACCAACACCAGCGAAGGCAATATGGTCTGATTGTTCTGCCCAGTCACCACAGCAACTCAGAGCAAACTCCCAAACCAATGGGTTACGTCAACCACAGGGCTGAAAATGAGCACATTGTGCAGGTAAACAAGGAAGAAGAGTCAGATTTAGAAAAATAGATATCGTCTACACCCTGAAAGCAACAAAAACAAAGCAGAAGAGTTGCTCATCAGTGGATGCTTGGCTGCACAACCACCAAACTTCTGGCACATGAGAGAATTAATTTTGAAGGTGTTTCAGCAATTAAACCTATCAAGCATCAACCTCCTGATAAATAGCACTTACAGCCCCTGAGAACATCCCTGCTGACAGGAGTCAAGACCGTCAGGAATGGGGTCAGAAGCAGGGAGAGATAACATGGAAGGCAGAAGACTGTTAGTTACAGTGCACACGTGCAGGATAAAACAGGGTTCAAAATCTTCCTTCCCTCAGCTTCCAAGCCAGAAGTTTGATCACACCTGCCATCTCACAGGTTACTGCCCCAACACCAGCTGGTCTGCAGTCAGAGCCTGGAAATGACCCTCACAGCATCAAGAGGCACCATACCCAATAGGCTTTTGATCAGGTTTGGATATTGACACAAAAAGGTATCATTTAAACAAATTAGCACTTCTAAATACTGTCTTTGCCCAGTTATTCTTGACCATCCCTAATCACTGTAGTTAATCAGTAAAGCCACAGGTCTTAAAATAGCTAGCAGCCATTTTAAAACTCTACCTAAATAATGAATAGGAAGATGAATTTTAAATAGCACCACAGAAATAAGTAGGGAAAAAAAAGACAAGTCATCAACCTTGCAATTAAATTCATCATTAGAAATGTGAACGGGAACATTTTTCAGAGATTAATGCATTCAAATATAGAAACCATTACACCATTCCCTTTACCAATGTAACTGTACTTTAACAAGACTAATGGTCATTGCCATTGCAGCTTCAAGGGACATACTGCAATCTGAATCTCATCACACTTCACAAAAATAGTTCTATTTAAAAAATCAGGCCTCAAAATCCTGGAAAAGAACAGCACATCAGACCTATCTCCAGGTGGCAAAAGTCACTGACAAGATGTGTTTAAGAGAAAAAGGTTCATACTTGCATCCACCACTCTCTTCTGCCACCAAGGTGTTCTCAATCTGTGTACACATGAGCAGGCTATTTAAACTTAAGAAAGAAACAAATTAGCAGAGAAAAATAATTATTATGCTAATGGAAGATAAGGGACTTAATACAAACTGGAGAATTTGATACCAAAAAAGTGGATCATGAGAGGCAATACTGGTGCCACCTATCAGCACAAGAGAAGCAAACGCAGAAGGGGAGAGAGGGGCTGCCCATTCAAAAGCAAGGATTCATCACTGGACAGATCAAATATTTGCAAGAACTAAAAGGTTCTGACCATTATTAGAGAAAGCTCTTGAACTAACAGGGATGAAACAATCAGTTATTTTTTGTTCATGTTATTAAGAGAACTCAATCACTGCATTTCCCTGAGCATCTGAAGCTGGAATGAGCATCACAGAATTACAGGGTTTAAATCACAACAAAAATAAAGCCTGAAGTCTAAACCACAAAATTCAAGTGTAATTAATTTCTGGTATTCTATTTCTCACTAAGTGTCTTAGTGAGAAGGGGTGTGGAGGTTTGAATCAGACTGTGGGAAGGGCTGGTTTTATCCCCAAATGGTGGGCATGATGGAATAGCAGAGCATTTCAAATGTTCCTAGCATGCCTTGAGTTTTCCACATCTGTACAGACTTATATTAAATGAACAATGTAGAACACTGACTAGATAGTGCTATTACCCTTCAGGATTCCATTTTTGCCTCAAACTTCAAAGTGAACCACACCCAAAAGTGCTGCAAAGTCATAATACTGGGGAGATGGAGCTGCCAGTGGGAAGCAGGTCATCCACAAGTAGGCTTTTAAATACTGTTATTCAGGGAAAAGGCAAACAGTACTGTACACTTGCCGCTCTGTACCTGACTTTCTGGTGCCCATGGGGCATCACTGGACACAAACCCTTCCCTCTGCCTGTTGTTAAAGCATTTCCCTCCAACCAATGCTTTGAAGGAGCCAAGATGTCATCTCTACACTGAAAATGAGACTGTGGTCCACACCCTCCCTCCAGCATGTGAGCAGAGCAGGACTGACTCTCACTCCATGGACTTGAGGAAAGAGCTCCTCATCACCATCACTATCCTCCAGACCACAAAGAAGAAAGAAGCTGGTAATTCCACAGGGAAACACAAGAATTTGGATACCTTCCTTTAAAAATAACAATTTCAAATAGCAACTTAAAAAAAAAGGCAACAAACAAACAAAAACAAAACAACACAACAACAAATAAAACAAACAAACAAACAAAAACAAAACAAAAAACCAACACAACAACAAATAAAACAAAACCAACAAAACAACCAAAAACCAAAAAACCTGAGGCACTGGGCAGTGGTTCTGTGTTGCACCTGTGATCAGCTCCTAATGAATGTCACCTTGGCAAGAATTTGAAAAGAAAGAGTGCTGGTGAGCTGCTGGTGGTGGGTAAGTACAGAGGTTCCTCAACACCTATAAAACCAAAGAAAAAGAGTACTTCTAAACCATAAAAAAAAAATCAGCATGCAACAGGAAAGAAAGAAAAGAGAAAAGATGCAAAAAAGATCAAGAAAAGGTTGCCCTTAAGTAGGGGAAAAAAACCCAAAGTCACCTACGTGAGAAGGGGCATAGGGTGTGGAGTGTGTAAAACAGGAAAAAAAAATTACATGTCTAAAGTAAAAGCTAATTAAAAGAGGTCTCCCCATAAGAGTGTGTAAATACTATCTTATTTTGACTACTTACAAACAACGCAACATCACACTAAATTCAGCTTATGTAATAGAGCTGCAATTTTATTTTTAAAAAATCCCTCATTATCATGATTATGTGGGTGGGACAGGAATATTAATTTAAACAAGTGTGTAAATAGATTTGCTTTCTTTAGGGTGCAGTCATGCCGTGTGGTAAGCCTGGTCTTCTCTCTAGTTAACTGTTTCTCTGAATCCCTGTGCATGCACCAAAGCACAATGAAATCTTGTAGGCATACAAGTTATGGCACATCTTTCAAATCACTTGGCAACAGGGAGAAAAACAATTTAATTAACA